TAAAAGTACATTTCAGGAATATAACTTAAAAACTGCCATTGAACACAATTTATGAAAATGTATCAAATGTATTTTGAAAATTAAGTACTTTTACATTTAAGCACTTAGTAAAATGTCCTAACTTATTTAGTGTTTTGTAAACATTTGATAAAAATTGTAGTTTAAAAAATAAAAATAAAGATAAATTTAACATGATTTTATAGAACTGGGTTCTTATAATAAACCCACTGGAATAAAAAACGTTTTAACTTATATAATTAACACGTTATTGAGTGCAGAAATGAAAGTATTCTTACCTGAAACTGATATTACAGTAGACAGACTTAACAGTTTATGTGATTTGACTCTTCTTGTTGATTTCATTTTTGTATTTCTTCGCAGTGTACCAAACACATCTACATCCATTATTGGTGTGCAGAAAGCTAGCGGGAGACTGTACGGTAGTTCACGTTGACCAAAACACACAAGAAAAAGCGGTTTGGAAAAAAAATAAAACATTTTCGGCAATCACTGACATTCGCATTCGGATGGAATTCGATTTCTCAGAGGACCGCCGAGTTTGCAGAAGAACAGTAGGTAATTTGCTCTGGAATTTTTACAGAGGTCGTGTGAGAAAAAGACAGACATGGCAGATTCGTACGGGATTAAAATCTCAAAGTACATCTGTGAAACAGAAATTTCTCTAACGTCCCCCTGTAAAACTAGTCCCGTCCGAATAGGGCTATAAGGTGGCAGAAGCAGCATTATAGTGCAATAGTAGTGACTAGTGTTGGGCAAGTTACTTTAAAAAAAGTAATTAGTTATAGTTACTTGTCACAAATAGTAACTGAGTTAGTCACATCATTATAAAAGTAACCAATTACCAGGGAAAGTAACTATAAGCTATACTTTAAACTACACTTAAAAAAAAAAAAAAAGTTCAAATGTCAAATAAATTGGATGCCTCCAATATTAAATGAATGAAATGGACACTACATGGAATAAATTATTATTTTTAAACAATGTACACTAATACAAAACAACAATTTAAAACTACTTATTTAACACTGAACATTTTTTAAAACATTCTAGCAGACATTATACCAAAGCACAATAACTTAAAATTAATAAGTTAGTAAAAAAAATATTTTGTGGCCATTTTTGAGACCCCCTTCTTGAATCAGGCATGCAAATAAATGCAGCCTTGCTGAGCAGAAGGGAATTATTTTAAAACATTAGAAAATATTACAGATCCCAATTTGAACACTATGTGTGACTGTTGTAATAAATGTATTAATAGAGCTGTTGTAATTATTATCATTATTATTGTCTTTTCAATTTTATTTAACAGAACAACAGCAAAATTACAATACTAACATTTATGAATGTTGATGGAGCTTTTATTTTGATGGAAACCCGCAGGAAGCCCTCAGTGCTTCTTTTTGTTGACAGCAGCAGATTTATAAATTATTCTCATTATAATTTGGGAAGATGCACGTATCACATTGTCACATGCCTTGTAAAAATTGTGTGACTGAGTATCCATTATAAAAAGTCCACACGGCTCCGGGGGGTTAATAAAGGCCTTCTGAAGTGACACGATGCGTTTGTGTAAGAAAAATATCCATATTTACAACTATAAACCTTAATCTCTAGCTTCCGCTAACTGTCATACACGCATTCACGAGAGAGGGGCATCCAGCGGATGACGTAGCACGTAGGCAAACACGGTGACGAGCGCGGAAGTGACAAGCGTGGAAGCGCAGAGGAGAGAGGGAAACAATTTTTGGACTTCAAATTTTGGGCTACCATCCACTCCCATTATAAAGCTTGAAAGAGCCAGGATGTTTTTTTTTTAATATATAACTCTGATTGTATTCGTCTGGAAGAAGAAAGTCATATACATCTAGGATGGCTTGAGGGTAAGTAAATCATGGGGTAATTTTCATTTTTGGGTGAACTAACCCTTTAAGTTCTAAGAAACAAGAATGTGTAAAATCTTTAAAATTTGTTCCAGTAAATGTGTATTAGAGACCAGTTCTTGTTCCAAGGAGCTCAGACCATCCTGAGATGAGATATTGAGGTTTTTGTAAATAGTCTATATACAAAAACTTTGTTGGGGGCCACGACACAAAGATAGCCGCTGTGGTTAAACCAAGTAAAATAAGAATGAAAACGTTGGTGTTTTACAAAAGGGAGGAAAATAAAAATTGGCAAGCAACGAACTTTATAATTTTTTGGACCAAATGAGATGGAATGGCCCCATTCTAAACATTCAA